TCCTCTGCAGCACCGGAGCGCTGCTCGTCAACGCCAGCGGCCCCGAGCTGCACAAGTTCATCGGCGCCATCCAGTACGGGCTCTTCTCCGGGCAGCGGGTGCGGCAGTGCGGGCTCGGGGGCAGACCGCTGCAGTTCTCATGTGAGTACCGCGGGCCATCGATCCATCGATCGATCGGGCTGCCCGCACCCTGCGGCCGGCGGGACAGGGCTGCCCCTCGCTCCGACACCGAGCCCTTTAGTGCGCCGATCGGCAGGGCCAGTAACTTGCTTTATGGTACTGGTACAGCCTGCCTGATGCCTTCAAGAGTCTATTACTGCAGTTACACCGGTAGCCACATCCCAAGAGATTTATGATATTTCTTTAGAAAGACTATTTGGGGGGTTCAATTAATCTCTGTCATCTTCCTCTGTGTGCCAGCATTACAACATTACCTCTGTGCTGCCAGAAAGAATGAGCTAAACCAGCAAGAACCTCAGGAAAGAGCTGGGGCACTGGCTGCTATTGAGAAACCAAGCAGCCCAAAAGTTTGCATTCTGTGGCACTAATTGGAAGAAGGGCTGGGGAGGCTGTCTGGGGAATGCTGGCTGACTTGGTACCTGACACGGAGTGTCAAAGTATTAGTAATGGTTTCACTTTACATTCATAACCTATTTCACCTTACATTCATAACCTATTAATCTACAAGGATAAGAAGATCAATGAGAAAATGATGAAGTGAGACACAATAGTATCCAGCAGCAGGCAGAACAGGCAGTAAAAGCCAGTTGCTGTGCGTACAATACCTCCCCTGAAGTTACTACAGCACGCAGATCACAAGGATTCTGCTACAACAGCACATGGAAACTGCTCACATCCATGATTTAAGGCAAGGGAAGGTTGCCAGACTAGGTACTAGAAAATATTTCCTATATAACATTTTCCAAAAATAGTAAGCCAAGCTAATTTGATATAGTACTAGAATTTGCTCTCTCTGAATTCCATCACTAGTCTGTGTGTACCACTGCAGTTCCCTGTTGATTGCTTTGTGTGCCATCCCAGTGTCACTGCACCATGGCTGTATTTTCAGAGGGGTCTGTGCCCTCCCAAGGATTTGGGTTGTTGTAGGTGACAGCTGTGACCCAGGGCTGGCCCAGCTGTGGCGCTGACACTCAGGGTGGGTCAGTGACAGCTGTGAGGGGTCAGCAGCATTCACCCCGAGAGCCCTGGGGACAAGGTGCTGCTCCTGCTCCCCGGGGCTGCAGCAGCCCCCTGCCATCACCTCCGTACCTGGAAGCTCACCAGGAGCATCCCAGAAAACAGGACAAACTTATAAAATACACAGCCATAGCTCAATGCACTCACTGCACTGCAGCACGTCTGAGGAGAACAGGCATGGAAAATAGGCTACGTGATTTAGTTCTGTGCTTGTTCCCATTAAGTGCTCCCCTCTGACCACTGTATCTCTTTTAATTGTAATATGAATTTGCTCTGCCAGCAAACCCAGTTCAGCTGGGGAAGACTTCTGCTCCATTTGTTCCCACTCATTCCCATCAGTTTCTAGGTCAGTGGTTCATTTTCTAAAGGTCTCTCATGCACAGCACACATGGGTTCATTCAGGACCATGAGGAATGTTTTACTTTCAAGACAACATTGCTTCTGAAATTAAGTTTTCCAGACAAATCACTTATAAAATGTTACTAACAGAACCAGCTGTAGATGCAGGTGCCCAGGGGAGGATTCAATACCATGCCATAACTTGTTTTCTTAAACCATTAAAAATTGCATTATTAAATACACAGTTTTGCATGTTTTCCCAAAGCATCAGATTGTTCCTGTGACACTATTCCCTGTAGGAATCCTGCAGAGGGAACACTGGAAGGGGCTCTGAGGCCTCAGGCTGAGCGCCCCCAGCTCTCCCAGCCTGGCCCCTTAGGGCTCACTCTGCTCTGTGTGTTTGGGCACTGGGGGCAGCTCTGCAGAGGGAGCCCCCCGAGCAGGGCAGAGGGGCAGAATGAATCCCCCTGTCCCTGCTGCTCACGCTGTGGCCCAGCCCAGGGCAGGGTCTGATCCAGAGTCCCCAGCCCAAGCACGGGGGGCTGAGCCCAGGGCAGGGTCTGATCCAGAGCCCCCGGCCCAAGCACGGGGGGCTGCTCACCCCCAGCACCCCCGTCCTTCTCAGGGCAGCTCCCAGCACGTTCCCCACCAGCCTGGCCTGGCTTTGTGCTGGGATTGCCCTGGCCATCCCACAGGCAGCACCTCGCACTGGGCCTGGCCCAACTTCCCAAGACATTTATTTCATTAATTTCCCTTTCATTTAGTCAGGGGGATAATCGGATTTGATAGCTCGTTACCTGCTGCCCTGTGCTCCTGCATGGAGCTGCAGAGCAGTTTGTTGGTACAGAATTTACACAGAGGGGTAATTGATGTGAGGCTGCTTTACTCTGCACACATTACAGCAAAACAGCACCAGGCATTATTACCTCGCTTTAGTCATGCCCCCATAGATCAGGAACAGTGAAGTATATTTCACAGTTCCTTCCAAAACACCTCTTTTTTGCCAAACAGACAGGAAATTTTAAAAATCATTCTCTCTTGCTCTCTGAACGTCTATCTCTGTGTCCTAGACAAACAGGACCACAATTTGAAACAGTAGCTTAAAAGTTGCACAAAAATATTTAGAGTAAATTATTCCTGAATTTGTGCACAGCACAATTTCCTTTCCCATGTCACAACCCTTTGTGGGACCTCATGAACACCAATGAAAAAAGTCTAAAGAAACATTTATTGTCCCACTCCCAGGGAAGAGGGGATGGCCGAGCCTTCAGCCAAGGGGGATCAGCCCCTAACACTGGCACTGGAAGAGACCTCAGTGACACCTTGTGCCAGACCTGTCTCCCAATCACAGCTTCCTGCATTGTCCCCAAAAGATGCTGTTCACATTAAGGAGCAAAGAGCACCCTCGGGAAGGGGAGGAGAGGCTTTCCTGGAGCTGGTCTCTCTCCCTCCTGGCCAGCCTATGCCTCCGAGTTCCACAGAATTTTTCTGCCTCCAAACATCCATGAAAAACCATTTCTAGTGAATTATTTCATCTGGTTGCATTTAGAAGAGCAGGATCAAAACAATTATCACAAACGAGCCAGAACCCCCAGCCTGACATCAGAGACAACTTTGCCTAGTGTGTATAATAATGTTGTGTTTGTTTTGTTTTCAGTTTTTCCAGATTTGCTCAGAATTATCCCTGCAAGTATCCATGTCAGCGTCATTCTGTTCTGCACAGTGCTGATTGTCTTCGCCCTGGTGGGAGCAGGGTTCTTCATGTTCAATGCCTTTGGCAGCCCCTACGAGACGCTGCACGGCCCCGTGGGGCTGTACCTGTGGAGCTTCATCTCCTGTGAGTGCCAGGCTGGGCTGGGCTGGCACTGCCAGCAGCGCCCACTGCTCAGCACAGGGGCAGCTTAAACCGGGCCTGCTTGGGCTCTCAGTGGCAAAAGCAAGCCAGGCAGGAAGGCGGGGGCTCTGCCACGTCAAAACACGTGTTTTCCAAACTGAAGTTGGGAGATAAACTGGGGCAATCCCCCAGGGGGGGGTGGCAGGATGGGAATGGGCAGGCAGCTGCAGCAGCCATGGCAGGGACCCAGAGCTGGGGTGGCATCGCTGACACCCCACACACAGCCAGAACCAGGAGCCACCCAGAGCACAAAAGGGGGCACAAAACAACCAAAATATGGCAGTGATGCAGCTGGTTCCTCAACAGGAGGGGTCCAGACAACGCGAGCAGGGCCAGCACCCAGAGCAGCACAGGCCAAGGACAGGAGAGCTGGGCAGCCCGAGGCAGCAGCAGCACTGCCATGCAGGGAAAGCAGCCACACACCTGCTCCCTGCGCTGACAGGCAGATTTACCCCCACCTCACAAGGTGTCACACATTACAACCATGATTTCACAAAGGACTTCAGCACAACTTTATGTTCAGGCACGCAGAGAGCTCCGTTATGCTCAATGGGACAATGAGCAACTTAAAGGTGAACATGAACACAGACACCTCACTAGCTCAGGGCACTAAAGCAGCTATGCTAAATATTCCAGGTCCTGAGCCAAACTCAATTAAAAAAAGCTTACCCATTTCAATAGCCATTGGCTTGGATTCCAAAAATAATCCCTGTTAAAGCTGTGTGGCCATACAAACATTCTCCCTGGGCTGCAGCATACATTGTGCAGCACAGCTGAGAGATTCTGAGGTAACGAGCATGTCCCCCTCCCTTTCAGGTTCCTGTGGCTGCCTCATCATGATTCTCTTCTCCTCAGAGGTGAAGATCCACCACCTTTCAGAAAAAATTGCTAACTTCAAAGAGGGAACTTTTACATTCAAGACTCACAGTGAGCAGTTTGCAAATTCCTTCTGGACCATCCTGGTTTGCTCCCTGGTGCACTTCCTCAATGCCCTGCTAATCCGATTTGCTGGATTTGAATTTCCCTTTTCAAAATCAGAAGAGTCAGGGACAATCACAGGAGCAGTTGACTTGATGTATTAAAATGATGGGATTTCAAAACATTTCAAGCAAAGAAATTTATCACTATTACATCAACAACCACCAGATGTACCAATTTGTGAACGATTGCCCTAGAGAAGGTAAAAAAAGGGAAAGTTTCAAATAAGTGTTAATGTGGTGTAAGCAGTGAACAAAAGAAGATGTGCTGTATGGAAATGCCTGGATGGAAAAGCCCTCTAAGACATTTTTTTCCCTTTTAAACTGTTTAAAAAGTGGCTGGTATGAAGAAAACCAGGAATCTCGGTAGCATTGCCCTGACTCTGGCAAGTCCAGTCAATGGGTTCAGTGGAAGCACACACTCGCCAGCAGCAGCTGTGCCCTCATTCCTGGTGAAGGCCAGGGTGCAGCCGAGACCACGCCAGAGCAGCAGGGCAAGGGACACCCAGCAAGGCACAGGGCAGCGCCCAGCTCTGCCCCAGCACACCCAGACTCAGCCCAACTGCAGCGCTCAGAGGGCACAACCCAACACCTGCACTTCCACCTGGCTCCACGTGCATGGCAGCAGCATCGTTTCTCTCCATGAAACTCTCTGGTTTTTCCCTTTTAACAAACCAAACTGCTCCAAACCCAAAGCACTGGGAGCCCTCAGCCCCCAGCAGTTGCTGCAGCTTGGTGACAAAGCTGACACAGCACAACAGATGCAGGGGAGATGCCACGTGCTGCTGCTGGCCTGAGGGAGGCAGCCAGGCTTGGCAGAGCTGAGCAAACCCTCTGCAGCTCACCAGGCAAAGGGCATTTCCCAGGGCAGAGCACGGGACTGAGCCCAGGCACCGCCACCTTCCACTGCCCCCTCCAGAGAACAGTGCTGCAGATTCTCATCAAGCAATGCCAACAAACCCCATCAGAACCCCTGGCGAAGGGCAGCAACAGCACAGCAGACAGGCTCTCCTGCAGGCTGCAGCTCAGCAGGGACTGAGGGACAAACACGGGAGGGTCTGGCATGGGAAGCCAGAACAGATGGATGCATCAACCCTCGCCCTTGGACCGCCCCAAGCCAGCTAAAGCACGGGATGCTCCCCAGGCTGAGCATCACACCAGCAAACGCTGCCCCTGTGGGCTTACCTGGAGATGAGCTGCTCCTCGCAGGACACAGGAACACACAGAGACACAGAGCCCCTGCCCCATTTATTATCTGGGGGGCTGTGCCCAGTTGTGGGTGGGGGCAATCCCTGCCAATCCCTGCCAATCCCTGCCAATCCCTGCCAATCCCTGCCAGCTGTGGGTGAGGGCAATCCCTGCCAATCCCTGCCAGCTGGAGTGAGGGGCAATCCCTGCCAGCATCCACCCAGTGCCCAGGTACAGATCAGACCCAGGTTCCAGGTATCACAGCCCTCTGCACTTACGGATCTACCAGCCCACAAGGCCTTACTGACTTTGATGTCATTTTTTTGTATTTTTACTGTGAAAGGTAAAACACTGCCGGTTTGTTGCAAAGGTTGTCAGCTGCATCTTTCCCAAGGTAGCTCTGCCTCCTCATCTCCCTGGATCTCATCAATGTGGAAGGGCTTCTGCAAGTCAGCACAACTCCCAGCTTCTTTCATCATTTTCTTCATAAACTATATGCATAGTCCTCCTAATGTTAATGTATGTTCTTAAAGCATAATTTGTGTTGAATCTCATGGTATTGTTTACTATACAGCGAACCCAACACCACTCCTTTACTGTGAAGACAAGAGCAGCCCCAGCCTGGGGTCTGGGAGTGCTCACAGGGGTCCCTGTGCCCAAAGCCCGGTCTGACCACCCCCACATCCCACCCTGCAGCCTGAGGGAACCCCAGGAAGGACCCTGGGGGAGCCCCAGCATGGACCCTGGACCCCCTTGCATCCATGAAAATGCCCCTGCTCCTGCCCCGTGCTGGGAAATGCCCCCGCTGTGCCCCACTGTGGGACANCTGCAGCCCTGCCCGTGAAATAGCAGCAGAGCAGAGCCCACCTGCAGCACTGGCAGCTGCTGGGGGACCGCAGCTGTGGCAGCACTGCTGACAGCACTCCTGATGAGCCGTGAGCCCAGGCAGGAGGGAAACACCACCAAGGAACACCTCTGGCTGAGTGACTGCTCACACTGTGCCCTGAGCACTCACAGCCTCCAGGGATGCCTTCAGCAACAGCCCAAAGAACAGTGCTGACCCACCAGGCATCAGCAACGCTTGAGAATACGTGTTCAGACTCAAATATGTCTTGGAATTATTTATGGCAGACACCTGGACTCACCTTTACAAAGTTAAATATTGTGCATTTACTCTATTAAAGGACTTGATGCTATCAAGTGAAGAAATTAGCAAACAGCAGCTCTTCAGCTGCAAAGCTGATTTGACAAGATTAACCAAAAAGCATTTCAGAGGGCATTATTTACTCCAAAAAGGAATTTTAAACTGCACTTATTAAAAATTGTTGTATCTGCTTACACCACACCTGCAGGCTTCATAAATAAATTTCCTCTTCTTGTCAAGTTCCACTGTCTCTCCCTGCTGCTGCCTCAATGAATACAAGACAAGCTAACAGCACGTTATTGCAGAAAATTCAAGGGAATTGTAAAAGGAACATAAAAAGTGTGAGTATCCATTCTTTTCACCCAGGACTTCAAATTCACTATATTGCTATACACAAATGCACACAATATCCCCAGCATTTGCATCTGAGACCACTACAATCTCTTACCTCTGCATAAAGTCCAGACTCGTTCTAGAATGACATGCTTTTCCTATTAACTAGTTTGGTTAGTTCTAAGATGTTTTATTTAATCAATTTGGCTTATGGATCAGAAAGCAACTTCCAGGATCACTGTTATTACAAGAGGAGAGTTCTCTTGCCTGTGTAAATTACAGATGGAACACAGCCATGGCCCTGTGCTTCCCAGAGCTCCTACAGGCCACTCACAGGGCAGCATCACCACGGGCTCATGGTTTGGGGCTGCCTGTGCAGGGCAGGACAGAGAAACCCCCTTGGTGACACAGCCCAGAGCTGGTCTGACCCAACAGCCCGAGGCTCTGCAGGAGGAAAAGCCCAATGAGCTGTGCCTTGGGCTCACAGCGCACACATTGCTGTCACTTGCACACATTTGCTTTCTTTGCAGAGTTCTCATATGAAATATAAACTGGAAGCCAAAGAGAGAAACTTTTCATGTCCCCAGTTTTCATACAGCTGATACTCAAATCAAAATTTTACCTGATGACAAAATTGCTTCATAAAACCAGTGAAAGGTGATGTGCTTTGTGAGCAAGAGGAACAGGAGCAGTACCCACAGAGCCTCCAGCCCACTCACCACAGGATTTACACACTCATTCCTCCAGCCCTCCTCTGTCTGTTTCCAGGCTGTGACTTGCATCACACTGACACATTACAGCAAACAAAACACCCCCGGCCTCTAAAGATGTTATCTGTCAGATAGGCATGGGTGAAAAACTCCCCAAAAGCTCCATTTTATTTCTGACATTCTAAAGAAACACCATGTGTCTTTAGAACCCTGCATTTACAGAGCAGCTATGGGATGTAATGTGATTATATCCAGTCCTCTGTCCTTGTGTGCTCTGCTGATCTCACTTGTCCCTCCTAAGCTGGACACCATGTCTGAAGACTTCAAAATACCAACCTGCAAACCAAAGAGATGTGCTTTTCCTTCTTTGCCCAAGATCAGCGGAAGCTTCAGAGAGCAGTGGCCACCACAGGGGCTGGAGCCCAGCACAGCTCCCTCAGCAAGGGAACACTTCCCCAGAGTGGCTGGGAATCACAGAGCCAAGGGCATGGAAGCTCCTGCCTGCAGGTGCCCAGCTCAGGAGAGCAGAACACGGGTTTGTGCTGAGCGAGGCTGCTGTGCACACACAGAGCCAGGGCAGGGGTTGGAGAGAGCAGGGAAAATGCTTTTCTCTTGCCCAAATAAAGCAACACAAAGGCACCACCACTGCTGTGGTGAGATCAGCCAACTACCAACAGAACAGGGATGCTGCACATTTCTGAAGGCAATGCAGAACAAAGACTCCGCTCTCCACTGATGCAGACTTGCTGGGCACGGCCAGAGCCATTCCCACTGGGTTCTGGAACTCAGGGCCCCGGCAGCAGCTGGGACAGGAGAAGCTGCAGGGTCTGACCATCACATATGTCACTTCACTCTTGACTGGAAATAACAAGAGTGCAGCCACACAAAGGCTTCCTGTGTCACAAAGGCTGTACCTCAGGGTTCCTCCCTTCCAGAACCACATTATTCACTCACACTCAGAATGCATCAGCCTCTCAGAATAACCAGGCTCTGGGTTTGTCTGACCTGGGCTCTTGCACTGCAGCTGGTCTGGCCTGGACAAGCACAGACCCCTCACCAGAGGGGCTCAAACTGCTGCCCCAGAGAGCAGCAAGGTCACAAGGAAAGCAGGCTTGAGGCTGTGTGCTCCTCTCAAGGTCACTGTCAGTTATTCAAGTCACAGAATAAATTTTTACATTCCAGAGACATTCTGCACTTTGACTCCTTCAGATGAGCAGGAACCTGGTGTTGGATTTGCTGGAACAGTTAAGGATGAAAACACCCAGACAGGTAACTAAGCAATTTGAGCAACCAAAGTAATGCTAACTGCATTATTAAAACTATTACAAGACTGCTCAGAACATGCTCCACTTTCTCAGTGCTTGGGAAAACAGACTGAATCTGCAGATATTATTTTGCTCATCTTGTCTCTCTTTCCTGTCAGGCAGCCCAGCACACTCAGATTTGCGTCCCGGGTCCCTCACAAATGTAATTACAAATGTTAAATTGAAGCTCTGTGACTCCAAGACCCATCAGAGCTCTTTCCCACAGCAGGGTGGGGAGTTTTGTTTGTGTCATTTCCAAAAATGTGATCTCAGAAACACAAATATCAACTCTCTGCATTTGTCACAAGCCCCATTCCTGAGAACCACATTCAAAACAGGACTTTTTCACTCTAAAGTGAAAAACATCTCTTGGCATCATAAGAATTCAGATGGACTTCAAAGACAACATCAGAAACAAGACTAAATACAAGTACACATCCCTAAGCCTTAAAAGCAGAGACCTAAGTGCATAAATATCCATGGAGTTCCAGGATTCTAATAGTGATTTCAAGAAATTCAACATCAATCCTTAAAAACGTCAATCACTCCCTTCTGTCACATCACATTCACTCCTGCACACTGGCTGGAAAATCCTCTACCAAGCTGCATTACCAGGGATTCCCCCACTGCTGAGGGGTATTTTGAGCTATACTTAACCAGGCTGTATTTTGCTACACAGGAGACTGGCAAGTTCAGGTTTCACAAACCATTCTAAACATATTAAAATGGATTAAAGAGGTGAAAAAGCCATTCATTCTCAGTTCCCTTCCATGGTGGTACCTGTGACAGACTATGATGGATAATAAAATACGCGTAGTTCACGTGTTAGGGGAAATTTGAGTGGGTTTAAGCCCTAGGAAAATGACAGGTGAACTCACAGAGGAGTTGTTACACACATGAGAAAGTCACTACTGCATTCTTCAGATCACCCTTCCGAGGACTCTGTTTCTGCCCAAGTAACTCCTTGCCCAGCTGGGGCTGCAGGTGAGTCACTCGTGTTCCAAGAACATGGTGTAATAAAATTTATTCCAACTGAAAACTGTACAGTAGCAATACAGACTGTTTACTGGATTTACACCTTGACAATAATCACCACTGTGAAAATCATTCTGGAGCTGTGCACAGGAGATGATTTGAGTCAAGGAAACGTCACGTGGAAAATACTTGTGGCCAGAAATAAGGTCAGTAGTTTTCTCTGCAATACCATCTAAAAAGAAAGTGAATTTACTGCTATATGACACAGAATAGGTTTCTAGATTTTGAGTCCTCCTACTCAGGCAAATTTCCCGAGGAACCCACACAAGTCAGAGAGAACCAGGAATGAGAGGTCCTATCCTTGCCCAGCGCACATGGCCACATTCACCAGGAGCAGCCCTGTCCCTGTGTTCATTGTGAAGTTACATCTTTATGGGCCACCAGACTTCCCACCAGAACAGTTCAACAGCTGCCATCATTATTGAAACCTCATGAGCAAGGAGCTGAGCCTCTGTCA